ATTCTCTTTGTACGGATCACTCGCTCTGCTGTAATGCAAGGCAACCAGCAGGGGGTGTGCTAGATCTAAAGGGCAAAATAGGCTCAATCAGCGTTTCAGTGATGGAAATTAGAATAGCAGATTATCAGCAGAAGATTGGCGATCTCTGTCTCACCATGGTGCAATTTCCAATGACGGCTTTGACCTGGTTTGACTGAAAAGCAAGGACCGGCTAATTGTTGGGAATTACGTAAAGCCTGGCAGAGAAAGTTGTCCGATTTGTCGCAATGTCTCATCCCTCCGATGTTTGTGATGTCTGCTCAGGGAAGCGTGAGTTATGTGGGTCGCCTTCATTAAGAATTTATCCATAGAATCTAGGTGCGACAAGGAAAAAAGTGTGTAAACCGCAACAACAAAAGAGCTCGCTATAGCGATGACGCTTCGACAAGTAAATCAAACAGGCGTATGATATATTTAAGAGGCAGGAGTCGGGTTTTTTGAGATATAACGATATGTACTGGATTTTACCTGGAAAAGCTAAAATAAGGAACTCCTCCTTTTGAACTTGACTAGTGTCGTGGCTCTGCTTTTTATGGACAGTTCAATACTCTGTAATATTCTATCTCAGCCATTCCCAAACTCAGTAACACCGAGGCCCCCTTAAAAGTCTGACGGGTCTGCGTGGCCCCCCAAAATAATAACCAAGAAGACAACATTAAGAATAGGCTCTTCTGGTTATTTTATTTTGGGGAAATAGCCTCTGCTACAAACATTGTAATACAAAAATGATTACAGTGGATTATTAAAGTCAAATAATGAACACAAATATTTTAATATTACAAACAAAACATTATAAATTTAACATTAAATAATTATATATATATATATATTTTTTTTTTTTTCTTTTATGACCTCCCGCGGCCCCCCTGCAGTACCCTCGCGGCCCACCAGGGGGCCGCGGACCCCACTTTGGGAGACACTGTTCTATCTACATAGTCCATAGGTTTGGATTGTGGTGGAGTGGCAGCAGAAAAAAAATCTTTCCTGGTAACTATGGAAATGTCAAAAGTCAGATTCTTGTCTTTAGGGCTGATTTATCTGTAATAAGTTCTACATCTTCTTTGTCAGCACGAATTAACTATGATGTAATTACCCTCTACTTTAGGTGTCTAACTCTAACCCTACAATATTCAAAACACATCTGCATGATATCAGTGGAAAGGGTGTTCAGACATAAGAATAATATGGAGGGTTCTGGTGGCTGAGTGGTTAGCAGTCTCGCTTCTCAGAAACTGACTTTTGCAATAGTTATCAAGGTAGATTTTTCTACTGACAATCCACCACAATTTAAACATATAGACTATTTTGAACATTGTGATGTCCCATAAACACCATCCAATCCGTCTATTTTCTTCCCCTTAATCCTTATCTGGGTCACGGGGGTGGCAGTCCCCCTGCACCCAATCCCCAGAGCACCAGCCCCTCACTGGTCCTACTGCAGGTGGTGATCAACATTTATGGACTTTGGTCATCTGCCTCTAATGGACCAATACCAATGTGTTTTGTATTCTATTTCTTGTGTTTGAAGTGTTCAATTCTCTGATCTGAGTTGGCGAATTCAACGGTTGTGCCTCCAAGAAAACTACTGTTGTGATTAAGTTATTTATTTCATTTGTTCTATCGCTATCTGAATAAGGAAATAAATCATAATAAAAAGAATAATAAATATCTAGGGGCTATACAAGAATACAGTGAATTGATTAAAAAAAGCAGGTAAACTTAAAGTATATTATTTGTATGTAAAACTATAATTCAGATGAGACCTATGAAGAGGTTCCCGGTTTGGACGTCATCCAGAAATAAATTGGTACTTTTTCTGTTCATGTCCAATAAACTATAATAAGATGCAATTGCTTTCTTGTTTCGAGCCCGGACTTAAAGTGTTTGAGCATGTCCGGGGTGCACTCCTGGCTTAGCTTCAGTGGTTAAATAATTCCAGCCACTTAGAAGTGGTTTTAGTTAAAGTGAAGAAAGCACCAGGTCACTGGGGACATGATAAATTGCTTCTTTACAAGAGACAGCCTGAATAATAATGTTGTTGAGCAGAATCTGAGCACGTTAGGCCGTTGCCGTCTTGTGAGGATCGATGTCTCAGTTGAATCAATTGCAAAAGAGGTTTAGCAAAGGTTTCCTGCTGTGCACCAAGTTAGAAAAAGAACAAAACTGAAAGACCGATGAAGGAAACATAATTTTTTAAAAGGTGCGTTGGCCAGTGCTCGAATAATCCAGACTGGAATGACTGCCAGGATAGGAAATCAATGTTTATATTCAACACAAAAACATCGTCCAAACAGAAAAGCGCTGAAAAACAATCAATAAAAAAGGCAATTATTTTGCACTGTTATTTGTGGGTGTAAATTATTATTATTGCACATTAAGAATTAAAGAATTTTGTCTTTGCTAAATCACCCTGAAGCCCAAATAAACCCCAGTTTGTTCAAGCATAACATCATAACCACATTTGTTTCTTATCAGAGACGTTTTGACTCATCCAAGAAGAAATGTTGGTGTATTTCTGGACATATTTTGGAGTTTATGAATAATATCACAACATGTTTTCCCTCCTTGTTAGTGGGGGTTATGTGAAGACATGTATTGGCCTTGAATATTTCATCATTTGTGTGCTAAAGATTTATCAAGAGATTTTCAGTTATTTTAAGCAAATACTTTGAGTGAACTTATCCCTAATACATACACATATTTGTTTGCACTGGAGTGAATAGGTTTATACTTTTGTTACTTTTTGAAGCTAAAGATGTTTACCGTGCAATACTTAATATTCATCATATTTGTGTTTTTTTGCTCCCCATTTCTACTTTTCTGTAACCGGTGATGCAACACTGACATTTCCCCACTGTGGGACTAATAAAAGATCTCTTAAAATTAATCTAGACATGATTGCTATTTCTACATTACAATGACAACAACAGAAGCTACTAAAATCACCCCTGATTAAAAGTCTCCACCCCCCAGGCCTCTCTGATCGTAAAGCTGCAGCAAAATCTGCCCAATCAATGATATAATGTAAAAATAATGTAAACAAATATTTTTTTTTTTAATGGGGCCGAGAGTATATTTACTGTTTCTCACTCCCTTCTGAGCAAAGATCCTTGTTCTGTGGGAATCAATTGTGTTGTATGTATCTATGTAATGGTTGTGTTTGGGGATTGTGATGGAAACTATTTTATTCTGCTGCTGGAATGAATTAATCAATCCAAATAGTAACACATTTATTTGACAGTCTTTGGCTTCACACAACCACGAACAATAAGTGGGAAAATAAGTTTCTGTGTTATCATCCATAGATACCAAAATATGGCCAAAACCACTCCATTTTTTTTGTAAATTGTAATGGAAACACAACCAGGTAGAGTAGAACCGAGTGAAGTAGGGCCAAGTAGGACTTAACTTATAACTGAACCAATATCTTAATTTTACTCAAGTACTCTTCCCACATTCAGCACTCAAGTTCATTCACTCATGAGTGTGTTCACAGTAAAGTGACAATTAAAGTATCTGGACTTTAAAAGGTTATAACTTAAAAACTAAAATTACTTTCATAGATTGGAAAAAAGATTTCAAACACAGACACATTGAAGGGATAGTATGGAAAAAAATCAAAAATAAAGATTGACCAAAAAAAATTTAGCGACATTTTAAACGACCAAATCATCCTCTGATTGGACCATTCTACTGTGACGCCAGTTACATAGAAAATAAAATGTCCTCAGTCTGAAAAAGTAGAAGATGAGGATTTACATGGTAAATGGAAAAAAATTATCTGGTCTGTTTTCACATTTAATTGCTTGACACTATGAAAGTGTCACTTTGCATCTACTTTGTGTAAAAAAAATAGAATCTCTGAATCAAATGTGGACATCTGAAAATACCTATCCACAAAGCCCATTCCGTCAAATCATCATGTCCGTTACATAAAATAAACAGGGCCGCTATAGGAAACTTGTCTAATGTATAAAACAGTTATGTTCTAGCAACTTCTAATGAACAGAGGAGGTGCTTGGAAACATGAAAAACATAAAATATCTTCTGATTATTAAAATCTAATTTTTGGCCTTTTGTCACACTTTTGTGCTCTTTAGTGTGAACAAGCCCTCATTCATTCATTTGTTCTTACTGTATATAAGATTACAGTCACATAAAGAACAGGAGCAGGATGAAGGCAAAGTTTTATTTAAACCCGACCCCAATCTTATGACGGAAAGACAACAATACTATTTCTCACTTCATTTAACGTAGGATTTGATCTTTTTTTGTTTACATTTAAACTTAAATTGTACAATATTTGTAATATATGTTTTAAATTCATTGTTCACAGAGATCTATAGTTTTACACCAGCGTATAAAATGGACATTTGTTTGAGTGTTGTGCTTGCAAAAGGCATTTTAAAATTGTTTTTCATTGTTTACTGAGAAGAACATTTGAAGGCCACAGGGCAATAAATAATGTCGTGCTCTGAACATAATCAATAATGTCTGAAAAACAATTAAATATTTTGTGTTTAACAGTCCTGACTTCAACAATAGTTCAGTTGTGTGTTCTCTTGGAGCAGTTTTGTGTATTATTCTTAAAGCTCTTTCTTGTAGAATGACTAAAGGTACTAAATCAGTGTTGTAGGAGTTGCCCCAGACTTCAATTCACAGATTGAAGGATTTTTAAATAACTTTAATCTTTACTGTTTTTAATGCACTGTGGCTTTTAACCCCATGTGTGATTTTAATGTTTTTAATTACTGTCATTTTATTCCCTGTGTTTTAATATTTCTTGTGATCTTAATGTTCTTTTTGTCGTTTTTTTCTTCCGTTGATGTAGATTTTAATGTTTAGGATGTATGCCTGATGTGATATGTGTTGTGAGGCGCGTTGTGTTGCCTTGTGTAGGAAAGACCCTCTACAAATAAAAGCTGTATCGATTGTAATGAGTTAAAGGGACGGTCACTCACCATAGACGAGCAGAGTGTAGTGGTCAGTGGCGCGCCCGTAGTCGTTCTGAGCCTGGCAGAGGTACGTGCCGTTGTGTGATTGGCTGAGACGTGAGATCTGGAACGTGGGCCCCGAAATCTCCGCTCGCTCCGGCAAAGTTTCGTTGATCTTGGACCACTGGATGTTCACCGGCCTGAGGAGACAGGAGGACATATGTGTGTGAGAAATGTTATTGATCACGTCTTAGCATTAGAACCTCAACAGCAGTCAATATGACGGCTTTTAGTTTCGGGAGCGTTGGTTTTGAGCTTCCTGACTTTTTTTGTTTCTTTATGCAGTTTATTTCTATGTCTATGTTTTCATGAAATTATCTTTGCATTTTGAGTAGAGAAATAGAGAAGAGCGAACACTAGTAACCATAGCAACATACCGTTAACTTGCTACCAGTTAGCATTAGCCTTTACAACAAACTGTTTTTTTCTGTATTTCAAGTAATATTCACCAGTTTTGGCACTTTGGTAAATTTGATTAAATTTGATTACTGATGGTAAACTCACTTTTTATAATCCCATTAATATGAACGAGAGCAGTCAAAAAGACGCCTCTGGGAGTTCTAGTCATTTCGTACTAGTGTTAAAGCTAGGATATCTAATTTACAAATAAGAACGATACTACAACCGTGTAATCAAATCCATCTAACTAGTTCCTCGCTCTCGCAGTTTGGTTCTGAAACTACTTTTCACATGCATTGATTTTAGGCAACTGTCACATCTCTGGATTTGCTTTTTCAGAGAGAACATTAAAAAAGCGAGGACCACCATCACTCAGCCAATCAGATCTCAGTTCCAAGTGTCAAATAGTGACACACAGGGTTCTTTCTTATGAAAGGTACAGTATGTTCTAATAAGATGAATGGGTGTGTAGTGGTCTGATTTGTTCACAACCTGTTATTTTTTTTATTTATTTTTTTCTTTTGGGATAAAAATGGGGTATTTTGTAAGGAGAAAAAAAAAGATTGTTTTCCCAGATATAGATAAAATCAGTATATTCATGTTATTGCATTCCTGGTAGTGTATTGATGTCAAATTGATTGCAGCCAAACATTGTATCTTCTGTGGTTAAACAAAATAATATTACAAGAATTACAAAATAAAGTTGTTCCTTTTGGCTCCAACCCTGAAAATAAAAATTCTAATCTACCGACAAAATCAAAGCTAAAAATAAAACATGTTCAGCAGACCCCAAATACAGCACACATTTAGAGTTTGGAGCGAATCAACTCCACTGCCCTGTTAAAGTATAACTTCAAAACAAAAGCATTTAAAGCTGGGGTACCTAACTTTCAAATCACAACGACATGGAACTATGAAATACAATCCATCTGGTTCCTTGCTCCCAAAGTTTGGTTCAGAACAATCTGTCTGCATCTGTTACTTCTCTTTATTATATGACTAGGACCGTACGCGCGCTCTGATTGGCTGATTACCGGTCTGATATTTTCCCATCTCGGACCGTTACCATGACAATCGGTCCATAGCCCGTATAACACAAAACCAAGTCGGACATGAACATACTTCACAAATATCTCAAAAGACTTGGTAAAGACACAGACGAGAGTCATATAATAAAACATTTATTAACCTTGCTCGGTCTGTTCAGAGAAATATCAGACCTTGGCCTTTTTGTACATTAAGGTCGTGGTCTGATATTTCTCCATACAGACCTCGCGCTCGGTTAATTTTTTATGTATTTATTTATCTATTAAAGGTACAGTGCATATTAAAATACATTATGCATGTAAATATGCCAGAATTAGCCAAAAGGCTATTTTTCATCTGTAGTCCCTGGACAGTTGTTACGTGTCCTCCTGTCAAACCTGCGGCCATCTAATAAGCCTCTTTTTCAGAAAGTAAAAGTGATAAAGAGAGGACCAGCCTCACTCAGGTCTCGGCTCAAAGTGTCAAATAGAGACAGAGATATTTCTTATGTATAACAGGATAAAGACAGAATGTTTTGGTCTGATTTGTTCACAATATTAGATTTTTTTTCTGTTCCCCGCATTTGAGTCCTTGATAAAAAATAAACATATACCTTATCATTCCCCAATGAACCATTCAAACCATATTATTAAAAAAAGGCTAAATCGGTCAATTTATGGAACGCCTCTGGCATAAATCCTCCACTAATCAGTCTCTAATTAGAAGCACAGACGTGAAACTATATCTTGATGCTGGAGCAGACTGACTGTGACATTGGGGTGTGTAAAAAGAGAGGTGAACACGGAGGGTACGGAAGCCCGCAGGGGACATGGGGCGTGAGGGAAATGCATGAAAGGAGATTGCAGACAGAGCCAATGGCGACAGGGGTCCTCGTCCTGACAGATAATGAGCAGACATGCGGTCAGAGGGCCGCGCCGGTGTGGAAGGTTTGGGCCAAGGCAAAGAGGAGTAAAACAGGTGCGGAATTTTAATAATCTACATCATCCCATGGAGTAGTAAGACTTTTACAGGAACATTGGTGCAAGACAGCCTTGTTCTTCAAAGTTAAATGAGATATGACTTGACATCTCCCTCATACAATCTTAGAAATGTGATTCACGTATGTTTGAGTTTTATGTCATTTATCTAACGTTCAAGACGCCATTTCCCGCCCCTCGCTCCTCTGACCATCGCCACAGAGATTTGGCCACTGTTTCTGCAAACTATTTTGGCTGATTTTTTTTTTTTAAGTATTAGGCTGGAGCACCAAACTTTGAAACCACAACAACCACATCAAAACTAAAAATATGATCAAAATCCATGTGGGGCGACAGCATCTCAGTTGGCAGAGCGTTGGCCTTTGAGCCTGACGGTCCAGGATTCGAGCCCACCGCGAGACCTTCTCCACCGACGCCACTGATGTCTGCTGTCGTTGTGTCCTTGGGCAAGACACTTAACCCGCTTTGCCTGTAAGGAGCGCAGAAGTAATGTTCGCTGCATGCCTTGATGTGTATGTACAGTATATGTGTATTCCTTAAACTGAAATTTCCCCACTGTGGGACAAATACAGGACCTTCTTCTTCATAATGTCATGTTGTGGATTTTCACTTATTTTGAACTTGTGCTACTACTATTCTCTGTGGTTTTGTTTTACTTCGACTTCCTGTCCCTGTTGATGTTCTGCCCCACTCTAATGTGTTTCACCTGTCTCTCTGTGTTCATACCCTGTGTTCTTCTCCATTCATTGCTGGTCCATCATCTTGAGTTTTGTTTGGATTTCATTTTAAAAAATCAAATTGGTTTATTTTATTATCTTCATTAAATCATTATTGTTGCATTCCCGCTCTTTGGGTCCGTCTTCCCTTCACCTCATGACATGTAACGAGTAACTAGTGACATGAGATCAGAGCTCACTCCGTCAGTCTGCTCTGTGTGTGTGAATATGTTTTATAATGATCAAACAGCATGGTTTGATTTATTCACACAATTTTTACTCCAACAAGACTTCCTGCTGGAACAATAAAGTGTTTTTAGTTATTGATTGTTGTTAACTAGGAAAGTCTCGCTGAGGTTTCAGAATCTAAAAAGTCAGTTACTCCAGCTTTAATCCACAGCCAGTGCTAGTTGTTGATGTGACCATGTTTCCACTGATGCTGCGTAAAGGGGAAGAGCCCTGATCCACTGGGCAAGACGGAATGCAAGAGGTACGCTGACTTTTTCTAGGCAAGGCAAGGCAAGTTTATTTGTATAGCACAATTCTTAAACAAGGCAACTCAAAGTGCTGAACACAACAAGAAAGCATTAAAATCATAAATAATTACAGTACATTAAAAAGAAAGATACAAATATAAAATCCCTCAGTTGTATGCACAGTTAAACAGAACTGTCTTTAACCTGGTTTTAAACATTGTCAGAGAGGAGGCCTGTCTCACATCTTCAGGAAGACTGATCCAGATTTTAGCAGGATGAATCTGAAAAGCAGCCTCCCCATGTTTTCTATAATAATATTTCAGCAACATATTGAGATTTCAATTGTTAATGAGGTACTTAAAATAGAATAGTGAATAGTTATAGTTTAGCACCATAGAACTTTATAGCAGACACAAACACAATTGTTTTGTGTTTTTTTTTAAATTGATAAATATTTATAAAATGAACATATGGATCTTTATATCCATTTTTTTCACGTTAAATTTGAAAAATGGATTGAAAACAATTTAATAAAAGACATAGCAGCGGTGGTTTCTGCCTGTATGTCACCTTAAACACCATGTCAACTGTGAGTAGTAGCAGCAGAAGTGGTCGTGTGAAGCGAAATGTAAATTCATATTCATAAGCCTTATTTGTGTATCTCCTGCAGCGGTAAAGAGTTTCAATCTTATTTAAGTATACCGAAAAACAAAATAATGTTGTTGTAAAATAGCACTAGAATATCCCTTTGTTTAGATCTTATTTGTAATCTACGCAATCAAATGGAATGTTGTGCAGGGTATCTATGGTAAGTATCGGCTTAAAACACAAGATTGCAGATATTATACAAGATTGTTATTCTTTCTGCTCCTTTTTCACTGTCCGTGTTAAAAGAATCAAAGATACAGAGAGGTTCAGAGAGAAACCACACGGTGACGCAAGTAAGCATAGAAGAGACACGGCGGCGCTAAAAGACAAGAGCGAAATTGCAGTGTCACAAACTTCCAAAGGCAGAAAAAAAATAAGAGAAAAAGAGGTGCAAGAAGATGAAAGCAAAATGAAATGTCCCTGTAAGACAGGCAGACAGAGGCGACAGGAGGCGTGGGGATTAGGCAGACGTCCTGGAGAACCGGCGGCGGTGCCAGTGTCACGCGTTGGCTGCCACCGCTCTCTGGCCAGATTACAATCCTGACTCACCGCAGTTCTAATCCCTGCTGGAAGTCTAATTAAAGCGCTTCTCGCACAGCCACACACAGGCAAAACCCCGCTGGAATATCTCCCACTTAGAGATATCCAAACTTCAACTCCCACTTGTTGTAATTACTAACACAAATAGGAAAAAAACCTCAAGCAATCAGCCAAAAATGATGCCGTCTCAGCGCGTGCCGTTATTCCCGCAGAGGGTAGTGGAGATTTGGCAATGGATTTTACTCTTGTTTCCAGAGTCTTGTTTTAGAAATCACGGGAATTAAGCACATTTCTAAAGAGATTTGGACAAAATTGGTTGTGCTTGTAGACTATTTGA